AGCACCACCCGGGGACACGTGTAGGGTGGGCCTAGGAACAGGTGGTCAAAGCCTACGGACGCGAGCGACTTATCCCTCATTTTTTTAGAGGGATTTAGAAAGGGAATGGGATGTACAGATCAACTCTTTTCCATACGCATGATCGCGGAGAAGTTTCTGGCCAAAAACCAAAAGGTTTTTTGTGCGTTCATGGACTTGGAAAAGGCCTATGACAGAGTGGATAGGGATTTGCTATGGCAAACACTGAACTCATTTGGGTTGAGCGCTGGCTTGATACAGGCATAGGAGTCTCTTTATAGGGACTCTAGTGCTTGTTTTAGGATCAACGGGGTCTACTCGGACTGGTTTGACATCCATAAAGGTGTCAGACAGGGCTGTGTGGCTTCCCCGTGGCTGTTCAACCTATTTATGGACAGTTGTTTGCAAAATTTGAAAGTTGAAGAATGCGGATTAAGAATGGGTGAGTTAACCGTCAAATGCCTTTTGTACGCCGATGATCAAGTCACTCTTGCGTCGTCGGCGGCCGAGTTGCAAATGATGGTTACATTAATGAACGGATCATTAAAAGAAAGGGGTATGAAAGTGAACGCAAGTAAGACGAAGGTTATGGTTTTTGAAAGAGAAGAAAGTAAAACGATTTGTGAAATAAGAATAGAAGGGGAGTTGATCGAGCAAGTAGATGAGTTTGTATATTTGGGCTGCGTATTTAGCATGGATGGGAGATATGATAAGGATATAGAACGACGAGTGAATGCGGGAAATAGAGTAAATGGGGCCTTGCACTCTATTGTGAAGAGTCAAAATGTGTCAAAAAAGGCACGTATGGCAATTCACAATGCTGTGTTGGTCCCTACTTCAACGTATGGTAGTGAAAGTTGGATGTGGCAGAAGAAGCACGAGAGTAGAATAAACGCAGTAGAAATTCGGTCGTTAAGGAGTATGTTAGGGCTGAATCTGAATGACAGGGTAAGAAATTGTGTAATAAGAGAAGAGTGTGGTTTGCAAGATGATGTTGTGACCAGGATTAAGAAAGGAATGCTTCGGTGGTTTGGTCATGTGGAAAAAATGAATGAGGAAAGAGTGACAAAGAAAATTTATGTTGCAGAAGTGAATGGCAGAGTCGGAAAGGGACGTCCTAGGCGAAAATTTATCGACCAAATTGGCGACTTATTGGAAACGGGCCAAATTAGGAGTACCCTTAACCGACGAGCATGTATGCGTAGTTGTATGGATGTGAAGGAGGCGAGCGTGGTGTGTCAGGATCGTGCCCAATGGAAATCTGTAGTCTCTGCCTACCCCTCTGGGTGACAGGCGTGAGTGTTTATGGATTATGAAGCAGCCGAATGCTTTTGTAAAGAACACCGCGGATTTGCAAGGACCGAATCACTTACTCGGCGCACATTTTCCTGGGTTGATTAATGGAAGAACTCGTTTCACGAAACTACTTAATCCACTTTTTCAAAAGGTTTACATTTGGGGCGTATCTTGGTCGGCGAATATTGTACTGAGAACAAAATATCCGAAGCGCAGCAGCGCACGAGTCACCACTCTTAAAGTAAGCTTCGACAGCAAAACCACATTGTGCTACGGTCCAACGCTCCATCGCGAATGTTAAACTCGCACGCCTGACGCGTCGATGAGGCTCTCCCCACTTCACCGCGCCAACCGTTGCTGTGTAATTCAAATTTAAAAATTGAACTTTCCTACTGGACAACCTGTAGTATCTGGGAGCACCAGTCCATATCACATATGATCATGCATAGAGTATTGCTAAATACTCTACGCACGACCGGAATTGCGCTTTATATAGGAGAAGCTACCTGATATAAAATATCTCTGCACCTTTGCAAGGACATCTTGTTTTCTGCCCTAGACTTAATAAACTTCTAATGATGGTGGTTTGGAGGAATTCTAACCCAAAGTTACATCCCTAAAGGTATTTCGGATTAGCGGACTCCTTTTAGTGGTAAATGGACGCTTGTGTTTTGAAGGCGCTGAACCTTACAAAATTTGCATCGCACCATTACGAAACTTTTTCTTTAATCATTGTGAGTGTATTCAAAAATCTTTAATCAGAAATAATAATTATATTTTTAACATTTTCCACGCTGCAGTGGAATAGCTATAAATATTCGAAATTACCTTACAACAACTGACAGTTATGGAAAATAATAATGTCTAAAGTTGCTGATCCAGATAATTTACCCCGACTTGGGGAAGAAATCATTCATGATAGCAGAATTAAATGAAATACTACCTAAGGAGGGTTCCACAATCCCTGTTAATGGAGAACCCCCGCTCAGCATCCATGACCAACTTACTACCTCCTAAACCTAGTGCTCAGGCTGCCCCGCGTATTCCAGGGGGGTGGGCAGTGGGAGGGTGTGAGGGACTACTGTTCCCATCTCTGGGCCAGAGCATCCCATTGCCAGCTTCTTCTTCTTGACCGCATCCAGCGCAGAGCGGCTCGAATCGTCGAAGACCGAGTTCTGTCTGATCAGCTAGATTCACTTGCGCTCTAAAGGGTGTACCATTTCTTTGCATTTTCTGTCGCATTTACCACGCCAGCCGCCAAATTTTACGAACGCATATCGCCTCAAAACTTACAATACCATACACACCACCTGGATGCTTGGTAGTCCATCACTGTGTGTTTTACTAGCAGTTTACTTCCTCGTACAACCTCTTTGTGGAATCGGTAACCACCAGCGATTTTCCAGACCGATACGACTTGAAGACCTTCAAGAAAAGAGCCTACTCCTTTCTAAAATGCCGACAACGCACCTGCAATTCTCCTCGTGTTACAGTTGTTTATGGCGGCGGTAATCACTTAATGTCTGGTTAGCCGCGTGCTCGTATGCCCTATTTTCTTATTCAAATAATAGGTACAGGGAATAGAGATTTAAAACCACCTTATGTTGTTTAAAAAAATATTTAATATAAATTTTACGACAACTCATTAATATTTCAGTGTTATCAGTTGACTAGAAATAATACTAAAGTTAGACATTTCTCTATATATTAGTGTTTATCTTCTAGTTTAAAACATTTGTTGGCTAATTAAGAATTCTGCATTTTATGTAAAAATATATTTAGGAGAACAACATGTGTTAGTATTAGACAGGCACTCTGGTAATGACGAATTTATTCCGATTATAATTTCGACCTCAAGATAGTTTATATAAATAAAAACTGTGTTTAACAACCTCTGTCCAATTCGTATATTATGTATTACCAATATCTGGCAAATTGTCTCTCTTATCCGTTTTAAATAGTCTTATAAGACTGAAATTTGAATGTATTCCAATTTGAAGAAACTATTGTTTATAAATACAGTATGTATTGACAGTTTTTATCTCAAAGAAATAAAATGTTGAATTAGATTTTAGGCCGTTTTTGCACTCTAAGGGTAGTATGTTAATGATTATTTTTTATGGTTTTCTATGATATCTGATTCTACTTTAATAACACCATGTGTTATAATAAATTGTAATAATTTTATTAAACAGTCAGTCCATTTTAATAATTGCACTGATATATTTAAACCAAAAATAAATTATGCTGTAACACGTTCGGTATTGCCTCTTCTGCTACTTATTTTAACGCTTCCCTTTATTAAATTCAATTATTTTGTTGCCATAAATATATTTATGTTTAACCCATTCTGTACTATAATCTATATATCTCCGAGAATTAATGACGTGAAAAAACGGTATATTAAATTTGTGATGAACTATTATTTTTTCCTCATTTAAGTACAAAAAATATTAATGCCTAATATGATTATATATACTGTGGTTATATCATATATATACGTACATATTCATATTCATATTTTTATTCCATTCATTCAATATTTAACCAAAATAGGAAATCATGATATTTTTTTCATTTAACTGAAAATAGAAACTATTTTTATATTTAAGTACATTTTATACTACATCAATATATTAATTGAGTATATCTTTAAAATTGTGATTTGAGTTACTACACGATATGACGATGCAAACTATGGAATATATGCTTTGGTATTTTAGTGGGTACATAGACTAACCACAATTTAAAAGAGCCAATCCTTAATTAACCTTAATTAACTTATAAGCTATATTTATTTTATTATTAGAATTTTATCTATTACTTTGGTATATTTGACAAAATTTAAGATATATTTTAACAATCAGTAAGAAAACAAAGGGGCATTTTAGATAATAATGTGATTTTTACGATATAGTACGTACTCTAAAACAAATGTTATAAAATTTTCAGTATCTAACATTCATATTAAAACGTAACTCATATGAACCACCCTAACGGTTCAAACAAATGAATCACTATATAGGTACAAACATACCAATTAAACACTTAAAACGACAAAACTATTACATCATTTTAGGGTTAGAATATAATAGTACATATTTGAGTATTTACTTACGACTTATTTTTCAATATTTATACAAATGTATAAGTATTATATTCTTCAAAGCGTTTAATTCTCAATATTTACAACATAAAAAAGCTTAATTGAAAACTATTTACAACATTTACAAAATAACTATTATTTACACAGCTAATCAATAAATCACAGCTCCTGATTGAAAATTTCAACTTCACAAAGTGAAGTTTGACTAGAAATAGACCATTAAATTAATTAGTATTTAAACCTTATGCTAAAAACATTAATTATTACTGACTTCAGCTTTTACTTGGTACGACACTTTTGTTTTGTTCACGTTTTTTCTCAAAGACTGGCGTCGACTCTCACTTTCTATAATAATTTCACTAACAGATTCAGAATCTTGACAATAATTTGCATTATCTGTGAATGTTAAGTGTCTATCAACGCAGTTTATTTCATCGAAACTTGAATGCGGATGTTCTAATGTCCGCATGGGAAAGGAATCAAAGCAATGCCGGTCGCCGCTCCGTCGTCCAGAGCGACGTTCCCTGCATCAAGAACATCGTGCGCGCGGAGGTCGACATGGGCCCGCACGCGCCTGTTGTCACAATCGACACATTTCGTGCTGAGACACCGATGAATACATCATTGTAGACAGGGGATACTGTAAAATTAATATAACGTCAAAAAAGCACTCAATCTATTGATTTTATTTCCATCTCCATTAGGTGCAAGCTTTACCATTTTTTAACTTTAGTACAAGTTTATAAAAATTTAGTATTGTTTAATTGTTTGAACTTTTATTATTTATGCTCATAAAACTTTATTCCAATTTATTATTAGCATTAAATCACATTGTGTAGTTTTACCATAACTGTTTCATGCAGATAGATAAAATCGATGCGGTTGATTAAGTTGTTGCGGGCAATGTTAAATATGAGATACGATAAACAAAATTTTTTAACAAAGGAAAGAAAGAAACACATCATTTTGGCATAAACTAGTGACGTACACAACACAACAATATATAAATACAGGGTTATTTTTCAAAGAGTAGCCAAATTTTAAAATTTAGTTTAAATATATCAATAATGATATACCATTATTGCAGTTTTGATAATACGAAAAAAATAAGGGTTCTACGAGTACTTTTATTTGAAATTATCCCAAATTGAATGTGATATATATGTAACAACGTTTTTACCTACCGAAATCTTACAAATATGTACAAGCGCAGTAAAATCATTTAAAATAATGTTTTACTACGCATTTTAATTTAAGAGATAAAAAGGATACAGAGTGTTTGAGATTTTTTTAAATTACGTTTTCTTTAACATTATTTATTCTGAACCTTCTTACACACAAACAGAAAGTACAAATTTGGTCGGTTATTGCAAAATAACCCAGTATGTACAAAAAACTAGGTACTTAAATATAAAAATTGACTTGGTACGTCGTAAACCATGCCAAAACAGATCATCACTCCACATGAGTTGCTGTAAACCACAACGCTGATGTTCAATGATGACGAAATCAATGTGTCAGTGACAATAACTGAATTTGAATAAAATAATAAAGTAACGTTTAAATAACGCTTAAATGAGATGAGATGTGTTCATGCAGTGTTTTAGAACCCGTAATAGTTTTATTTTTACGACATTAATTTAATTTTGTATGTTTTATAGACAAAATTACTTTTAAAACCATTGGTTATTAAATTTAAACACAAAGTGCAAATCAAACACTGTTTATATAATAACAACTAAACTCAAAGCGAGGAGAGTAAGGTTTACACTAAAACAGAGTGCATCAGATTTCGTGAGAGAAGGAGTTTGTATCCACACGTACCTCTAATATATGAGATGTTAAGGTGACAATTATTGCGGGTATCCATAAGTTTTATTGCGTTACAAAAGTATTTCAGAATTTAATTTAAGTATACAGAAAGTTCAATGTATGTTATAAAATGATAAATGTAGATTTTTTTTTAGGAAAGGCACTTAGAAATACAAAATAAACTTAAGTACTTAAAAAATTGCTATATGAATGTTTGTTCACACGAATTTTGTCTAGTTTGCTGAATGCCCGTGAGTTCACTTGATGAATAATAACGACGAGTTGTTCTTAACTGAAATTAAAATAAATAATGAATAATGCCTAAAATCAAAGCAATACAGTAAAATCATATTTACTAATATTTTATTATGACGCTGATACAATTATCTTACTCAGTTAGGTACTTCAATTTGATATTATTAGAATGATTTTCGATTTGATTTGAATTTGTTACCAACCTGAGATTGCTTAAAACGAAGCTGAGGTTGGTATTTTCGACGCAATTTTCGGGGGCAACATGTACATAAGATTCTAAGGAAGGCCCTGTAACAAGAAAAGTTATAACATAAATTTGATTCTAAGTAGAATAATTATAATATATCAATCATTAGAGGAATTAATTATCTTTGTTTAAAGTCTGTGACCTGAGCCGTGCTTAGCGCTCGCGTAAATTTTTCAGTACGCGAGCAACCCGAGTTCGATCCCTGTCGGCATGAATGAAATTGTTTATTGAAATTTTAAGTTATTATTTACCACGTGCTTGGCGGTAAAGGAAAACATCTTGAGGAAACCTATATGTTGGAGAAATAAAAAAGTCATATTTGGAAGACATTTGAAGTTAGCCAACACGCATTGGGGCAGCGCGGCGATACTTCCGTGCCTTCAAACCTTTTCAGAAGTGAGAGGAGATCTATGCCTAGAATTGGGACAAGTACAGGCTGTAAGTTTTCTTTACTTTTAAAAAGTTGTGTTTATCATTTTCGCCTCCTGATAAATAAAAATGAGACTGATAATAATAATACGGTTGGTTACTAAGGATTAAAAGGATTTATAAATTTTTTGCTACCAACTTTTCCATTGAGATTATAATCTTTTATTAACTTATATAAATAGTTGAATAGTCTCGTTTACCAGATGATATATAAATTTCCGTGTAATATTTTTAAACGGAAATACGGTTTTTAAGAATTAACGCTAAAAGACTTGTGTATACTTAAATATTTACACATATATATATATATATATATATATATATATATATATATATATATATATATATATATATATATATATATATATATATATATATATATATATTTGTAAATATGCGTATTCTATTTTTCAATAGGCCTGCTGAAAGAAATTTCATCATGGAATATGTAGTGCCTTTATACGTATGTTCATTTTACCAATTTGCTATTAAAATATGTGTGTACATAAACTAGTAAATATATAAATTAAAAAATACGTATGTGTTAAAAAAAAACCTTACCATGTGTTATCTATTTTAGATTAAAATAAGAGAATCATTATACCGATTAACTGTCCAACGTTTTATTTACTTTATTAAATTCAGAAAAAGTTGTTTAGCAATGTGTGTTAAGGTGTATAATAAGATCCCCAATGACATCAAAAACCTCAAAATGAATTTATTCAAATCGAGACTCTATAAGTGGCTTATTGAACTTAAAGTGTATGACATTGAAGAATTTATTGACATTAAGCTTTAATAATTATTGTTGACATTGCTTTAATGAATATATTTGACCCCTTTTGAAATAAATGTTACCTGAATATAATCTTAAATTTGCATGCTAATTATAAGCAAAACATGTGAACTTATTTTACTGTACCACCTACAAACACCATGTTTTAAGCAAATAAAGAAATTATTATTATTATTATTATTATTATCATTATTATTTAAAAATATATTTATTTTTAATTAGAAATAATGATAAACATACCTCCTAAAGTCACGACTCCAGCATGCATAAATTACAGGGTTCATCGAAGAGTTGACCCAGCCAAGCCACGTTACAACTACGTTCACAATTTCCTCATGAGTGATACAAGACGAACATATGCCAGATAATAAGTTCACTACAAAGAAGGGCAGCCAACACACTATAAATACGCCCATGACAATACCTAGAGTCTTTGCAGCTTTCTTTTCTTTTGCAAACTTGGCAATTTTTTTGGATAATGAAAAATTCTTTGGCACATGCTTGGTATGTGCAACATTTGTTAGACGAGTTGAAGACCGTGATAGACCATTATTTTGTAATGCAGTTAAAGGCTCTTGATCCGCTTCTTCAGGAGTACAACCCCCATGACATGCATCTGCTCTCTGACGTACTGTACCTCCGCGGTGAATTCTTAAAGTTAATTCTAGCTCACCACCGGGCCTCATTACTTGCTTCGTCCCAATTTTAAGAGATCGTGTTTGAATAGACGCTGCACGATATATACGATAATACGTGAATACCATTACAAACAAAGGAAGATAAAAGGATATAGTTGATGAAAATATTATATATTCTAAGTTTTCCGTAAAAGGGCATTTATAATCTGGAACTTCTTCCAACCGCACTGCTCGCCACCATGCTATCGCTGGAAACGATATAGCACCGGAACAAACCCATACAGCCGCTATAAGAAAAGCGGCTTTTCGACCACTCATACGCATCGGGTATGTTATTGGATCTGTGATTGCCCAGTATCGATCTAGTGATATAACACATAAATTAAGTATCGAAGCTGTACTAAATAAAACATCTAAAGATCTCCAAACATCACACCAGTCTACGCCGAAGAACCATGTGTGTTCTAAAACTTCATATAGGGCTGAGAATGGCATCACAACAAGTCCCACTAAGCAATCTGCGACTGCAAGTGATGTAACAAAATAATTTGTTGATGTTTGCAAATACCGTTCACGTATAACCGCCATTATTACAAGCATATTTCCGAAAACAGTAGTAAGTGAAAACAAAAGGAGAAAGGTAACAAGAAGAGCTCTATCTCTAAGCAAATGTATGTAGTCATTCCAGAGCTCGACCGAAACATCTGTAGCATTATAACTAGAACTATTATCAAAAGTAGCATTAAAATCAAGTACAACGTTGTAAACCACATCCTTTGGCTCAAACATGTATTCAGGTCCTAATTGCGAAATTTCATGATGGCTCTTTGCCAACAATATATCGGATTCGGAGGCGTTCATATTTTAAAATTGTTATTCGATCTCTAGCGCCATGGCGTGTGTTTATATTTCCCTTGTTTTGTTTGTAGCCACTTAGAGATGATATTCTGGACAGACATTGTTTTCCCCAATTTCAATTGTAAGTCCATGTTCTATTTGCATATTTCGTTTTCTCTATAACATACTCTCCCGTGTCTGAAACAAAAAAGAAACAAAAATGTTAATGCAAAAAATATAGATACTCGTATTATATTTTATTTTCTAAATTACTTATATATTTATTTATAGTTCGCTTTTTATATAAATCTGGGATTTGCTAGTTGAATTTATTTATATGTGAATTCCCAAAGAACTGTATCCGCAAAAATAGTCGCTGCTGTTGAAAGGAGAACTGAATTTTTGGTCACATATTAAAGACAACGATTTTGAAAAGAAGGCAGTGTTCACGGCACGCATTTAAAAACTTACAATAGAGCTTAAAATTCCATGTAAAATAACATTATAAAACTTTATAAGTGGTAGAGCCACGTTGCAACTATATCATGTTTGTAGCAAGAAAGGGCCGGCACGACCAGGAAAGGACCACACTCTCACAGAGCACAAGCGTAAAATAACAGGTTAATGTTGCTGTATTTCGTATGGTGAGTGTAAAGAACCGGAGACCCCTTTTGCTGAAAACGAGGCATTCCATCTTTGTCTCCAGGGGTGTCAACGCATCTGCATTCAGATTCCTAATCAAAGAAAAATGTATATATCTATGGACCACAGAATCCACTTACCATCAAGTGGACTAATTTATAGTTTGTCATCCTCATTCTATATAAAAAAACTGAAGTAGCGAACGGACTTACACTTCACCTGATTATAATTGACTATTGTAGTCCATTGTAATATGCAATAAACTTCAAACCAAAAAGGATTGGACCTCAGAGGTGACAACTGATGCATTGTAACCTCTGAAGACCAACATTAAATAACTCATAGCCTGTTATTATACAGGCTCTCCACAGCCTTCAGACTGGAACACAGTAACCTAATACATATATGCAAGCAATATTGCTTTCGGCTTATGCTACCCTGGTATTGAGCAAACAGTACAAACAACAGCTACTCCTGAAACTATTTCCTTTGGGTTTTTAATAACTTTTTATTGTTTTCTTATGCCCTAGTACAATATTAGACGATAGGCATTTTTTGAAAAGTGGCCTTGTGGCAAAACTAAAATACCAAGTTATACAGATCTAATAAAATACCTCTTAAACCCAGTCCCCCACCTAAGAAAGAAATTGCAACAACGTCTATTCCTCAAGTTAATCACACAATCGAGCTATATTACACAGAGATTTAAACGAGGAAGGGAAGATGACATAACTTCTGAACTGAATGATTTTAAAGAGGAAATAAAAAATTTGTTTTCATCAAATTCAGCAATCGAATTATAATATTCATAATTCTATCGCTATCCTGACTAGCCAAAACGAGGAGTACAAAAAGAAAATAGATCAAATGGAGATCCAAGCCAAAAAAGACCGAGAATACATAACGTTACTAGAGGAGAAAGTTGAAGACATACAAAGAGACAATCAGAAAACTACCAATTATAAACAGTGACACAAATGAAGATCTAATAAGCATGGTTCAACAATTGTCCAAACACATCGACTGTAAGATCGATAAATCCGATATAAAGGATATCTACGGAGTGCGTACAAAACCCCGAAAAAATTAAAATACTAAAAACCTTCCCGTTGTAGTAGAACTGGGATCCACTATTTTGAAACGCGATGTACTGAGGATGTCGAAATCATTTAATATTAAAAACAAATATAAACTTCAAGCAAAACACCTCTGATTTACGACAAAAGAAGATACACCCGTTTTTGTTTCCGAACAACTAACTCCCAAAAGCGCTAGACTATTTTTTCTAGCCAGAGATCTCGCAAAATCAAAGACCTTTTAGTTCTGCTGGACGTTCTTTGGTCGAGTCTATGTGAGAAAGGACGAGAATTCTCCAGTTATTGTAATAAGAAACAAGTCACAAATACACCATCTTCTAAAAGAAAGTTCACAAGCATGACTCAATGGTTTCATCCAATTCTTGTCATCTTCATTAATATTATTAGTGATAAGTTACATTGTATTATTTAAGTATATTGTCCTAACTGTAGGTATTAACATCTGTGTAGCAATTCTGTCTATTATAATTTGTACTTCAATAACTGACAAAAAACCTCATACGGTATCTTCACTCACACTCATATATAACACACTTTTGAATCATACAATACACTCACACACAGCTCATACTCACGCAATCATCACCCATTTACATGTTGATTCTTATTTACAAACATTAACTCTAAAGTTGGTCATTCCTGTTTATTTCAAACCTATCGCGAATAAATACCATAACAGCATTACACTAAAAACAAACCTTTTGGCTAAACCATCTATCATCATCATTATCATCATTACAACCCTTTACAAGTCCACTGCTGAACATAGGCATCCCCCAAGTAATGCCACAAAGCACGGTCCTGAGCCACCTGCATCCATCGACTTCCTGCATGTCTTACCAGGTCGTCACTCCATCTAGTGGGGGTCGCCCTACACTACGCCTACCGGTACGAGGCTGCCACTCGAGAACCTTTCTTTCCCATCGGTTATCGGTTCTTCGAGCTATATGGCCGGCCCATTGCCACTTCAGCTTACTAATCTGTTGGGCTATGTCGGTCACTCTGGTTTTGCTGCGGATATCCTCGTTTCTGAGTCTATCACGCAGTGAAACTCCGAGCATAGCCCTCTCCATAGCTCGCTGAGCGACTTTGAGCGTCCTCATACGGCCAGCCGTGAAGGACCACGTCTCAGATCCGTAAGTCATCACTGGCAACACGCACTGGTTATACACCTTAGTTTTCAGAGATTGAGGTATACTTGACGAGAAGATGTGTCGTAATTTCCCGAACGCTGCCCAGCCGAGTTGAATCCGTCGATTGATCTCTCGGTCGAAGTTGGACTTACCTAGTCGGACTATTTGTCCGATGTAAACGTACTCGTCAACAACTTCGAGCATAGTGCTTCCAACAACTACCGGCATAGGTGTGACATGGACATTAAACATGATCTTTGTTTTGTCCATGTTCATCTTAAGACCTATCCGTTGGGAGACACCATTGAGGTCATAGTGTAAGTCATAGTGCTAAGGTCCTCCAGCGATTCTGCCATAAGGACTATATCGTCAGCAAATCGAAGGTGAGTGATGTACTCGCCATTGATGTTAATACCGTATCCTTTCCAGTCCAGTAGCTTGAAAACGTCTTCCAACGCAGCGGTGAAGAGTTTCGGGGATATAACATCACCCTGTCTTACACCTCTCTGCAGTTGGATAGGTTTCGTACTCTGGTTCTGTACTCGAATAGCCATCGTAGCCCTACTGTACAAACACTTCAGCACTTCAATATACCGATAGTCAACTAGGCACTGCTGAAGAGACTGTAGCACCGCCCAAATTTCGACGGAATCAAAGGCTTTCTCATAGTCCACATTGACACAGAGGACAGAATTGAAGAGCTTCTGAAGGACTTCAAGTACCGGTGTTCCACCCGCTTTCAGAAGCTCCGCTGTAATTCCATCCTCGCCCGGGGTCTTGCCGTTTTTAAGGTGGTGGAGAGCCATTCTAATCTCGCTCAGACTGACGTCCGGGATATCATCGGAATATCTCTGGCAAAGACTTCGGATCCCTGGTTCTGCTCGATCGCTTCTTTAATACGAGCAGTATTAAAGTTGCGTAAGTCTCGCCGCATGCATTTGGAGATCTGTCTGTTCAGTTGCCTGTATGCTGTCAAATCTGTTGATGATTGCAGCCTCATCTCCCGTCTAACAGCCATGAGATTAAGAGTGTGATCGGAGAGTTTTTGTGTTCTTCTGCGGCGGCTCTTGCAGAACTTAGCTCCAACCGCATGGACAGTTTCCACGAGCTTGTCATTCATATCGTCCACTGCTTTGCAATCCTCTAGGCACTGAAAGCGGTTTTGTAACTCGAGCTGAAAGGTTTCGGGATTCTGGATTAGAGCACGAGGGGGACGGAGCGTTGACTTCATTAGACGAGACCTCTCCAACTTAACATTTAGGTTCAGTGTACCTTTAACCATTCGATGATCGCTGCTAGTTTTCATCCTTGCGATCACTGAGACATCACTGAACAGTTGGCGTCTGGTAGTCATAATGAAGTCAATCTCATTTTTTGTCGAACCGTCGGGGCTCGACCAGGTCCACTTTCTGTGGGGCAGCTTCTGGAAGAAAGAGTTCATCATAAAGAGTCCCTCTTTTTCCATAAAGTCTTAAAATTTCTAAATCACATTGCAAAGAACTACTTAATATAGGACCAACACCGCCTGACTCTGTTAATTTGGTAAATTGTTATTTTGCTAATATTGGCATTTAATACCAACCAATTTAATATTGGTAAACAATTAGCTAATGATGTTATGAAAGGTATATCTCATGTCTCACAAAGTAGCATTCCCACTAACACGCTAAAACGACATAACACATCTTTTGTCCTCTTGGAGACTGATCCTGGGGAAGTTAATAGTGTGATCATGAGTCTCAAAACAGATAGTGCCCCTGGTTGGGACAATATATCAACCAAATTCCTTAAGATCTGTAGCCCTATTGTTGCGCCCATAATAAGTCATCTTGCAAATCAAAGCATTAGATTAGGTGTATTTCCTGCACCCCTAAAAAAATCTATTGTATAT